TCAGAGACCTTTTGGTTAGCAGCAGAGTGCTTAACTATTTGCACCACCCAAGGATTCCACTAGTGTGGCTGTTATGGAGGGTGGATTATATCGGGAGAGGCTGGAGGCAGAGGGACCAGTCAGGAGGCTACTGCAATGGTCCCAGCAAAAGGTGATGAAGGCTGAACAAAGGCACTGACAATACCTCTGTGTGCTGTTCACTTCGGGGAGGAGGGGAAGAGAGAGACTGTGAGAGTGGCCTTCAGCCTCTTGTGTATGAGTGTGAGTATGTGTGCCCCAAATATTGGTATATTCAGCCTTTAAGGCAGCCTAAAACAGAAGACAAAGTCATCTCGTACAAAACGTTGAGCATATATTCTATTAAACAGGAATCCACAACACCCTATGTCTGACTTAGTGGAGCCAGCCTGGACCTTTTGATATCTCACCAATCGGAACAGTAGCATTCCTTGGTTCAAGCTCTCAGGGTAACCCAGTTCAGCCAAAAAAAAAAAAGATCCTGAATGACAAATTATTTCTAGCACAGTTCAGTGCTTTGTTTTGTTTTGCTTGTCTTTTTTTTCTTAACTGTCTAGACATTGCCTAAGAAAAAACTTGGAGGAAGAAAGAATAAGATAGACACAGCTTGTAAAAGAAGAAAGAGACAGAAGTTTTAGCTTAGCTGTTTCCTGTGCTGATTTAGGAAGGGACTATGAATGGTGAAACTAATCAGAAAGCATTTATAATTTGTCTCTTAGAAGAGAGTGACGCAGACAGCAAGATTTCTTGCAAGTTAAGCATTGGAAAGTGATGTTCAAAGAGTCAGCAAACATTTATTAAGGTCCTATGATGTGTGGACCTCTTTGAGCTAGACCCTGCACTGGGCACTGGAGACACAGTCCCTGATCCCAGAGAGCACCCATTCAAGTCTCTGACTAGCCCTCAGTAACCTCTGGTCAAGTACTGTGCATGCTATCCCCTAAAATACCTGGTCACTTGTCCATTCTGCCTACAAGATTATGAGTTCAGATGGTTGTTGTGGTTAGTTGCCATAGAGTTGATGTCAACTCACGGCGACTTTATGTATAACAGAATGAAATGTTGCCCAGTCTTGTGCCATCTTCATGATTCTTGGTATGTTGGAATCCATTTTTGCCGCTATTGTGTAATGCTTTCTAACCTAGGGGGCTCATCTTCAGCACTATATTAGATAATACTCTGTTGTGATACTTAAGGTTTTCATTTGCCATTTTTGGAAGTAGCTTGTCAGGCCTTTCTTCCTAGTCTGTCTTAGTCTAGAATCTCCCCCGAAACCTGTCCATCATTGGTGACCCTGTTGGTATTGAAATACTGGTGACATAACTTCCAGCATCATAGCAACATGCAAGCCACCACGGTAGGACAAACAGACAGGTGGTGGAGTTCAGATGTTCTTGTTGGGCGTCATTGAGTGGGTTCCAACGCATAGCGACCCTATGTACAAGAGAACGAAATACTGCTGGTCCTGCACCATCGTCATAATCATTGTTAATGCTTGAGTTCATTGTTGCAGCCACTGTGTCAATCCATCTCATTGAGGGTCTTCCTCTTTTTCGCTGACTCTCTACTTTACCAAGCATAATGTCCTTCTCCAGGGACTGGTCCCTCATGATAACATGTCCAAAGTACGTGAGACAACATCTTGCCATCCTTATTTCTAAGGAGTATTCTGACTGTACTTCTTCCAAGACAGATTTGTTTGCTCTTCTGGCAGACCATGTTATATTCAATATTCTTTGCCAACACCACAATTCAAAGGTGCCAATTCTTCTTTGGTCCTCATATATGAGGTATATATATGAGGTATATGAGGTGATTGAAAATACCATGGCTTGGGTCAGGTGCACCTTAGTCCTCAAAGTGATGTCTTTGATTTTTAACACTTTAAAGAGGTCTTTTGCAACAGATTTGCCCAATGCCATGCATCATTTGATTTCTTGACTGCTGCTTCCGTGGGTGTTGATTCTGGATCGAAGTAAAATGAAATCCTTGACAACTTCAATCTTTTCTCCATTTATCATGATGTCACTTACTGGTCCAGTTGTGAGGACTTCTGTTTTCTTTATGTTAAGGTGCAATCCATACTGAAGGCTGTAGTCTTTGATCTTCATCAGTAAGTGCTTCAAGTCCTCTTCACTTTCAGCAAACAAGGTCGTATCATCTGCATATCGCAGGTTGTTAATCAATCTTCCTCCAATCCTGATGCCATGTTCTTCTTCATATAGTCCAGCTTCACAGATTATTTGCTCAGCCTACAGAGTGAATAAGTATGATGAAAGGATACAACCCTGATACATACCTTTCCTGACTTTAAACCACGCAGCATACCCTTGTTCTGTTCAGATGACTGCCTCTTGGTCTATGTACAGGTTCCTCATGAGCACAATTAAGTGTTCTGGAACTCCCACTCTTTGCAATGTTATACGTAGTTTGTTATGATCCACACAGTCAAATGCCTTTGTATAGTCACTAAAACACAAGTAAACATCTTTCTGGTATTCTCTGCTTTCAGCGAGGTTCCATCTGCCATCAGCAGTGATTCCCCTCATGGGTTGATGTACTGCTACAACCGTTTTTGAATGATCTTCAGCAAAATTTCACTTGTGTGTGATATTAATGATATTGTTCGATAATTTCCACATTCTGTTGCATCACCTTTCTTTGGAATGGGCACAAACATGCATCTCTTTCAGTCGGTTGGCCAGGTAGCTGTCTTCTAAATTTCTTGGCATAGTTGATTGAGCACTCCAGTGCTGCATCTGTTTGTCGAAACCTCTCAATTGGTATTGTGTCAATTCCTGGAGACTTGTTTTTTGCCAATGCCTTAAGTGCAGCTTGAACTTCTTCTTTCAATATCATTGGTTCTTAATCATATGCTACCTCCTGAAATGGTTGAATGTTGACCAATTCTTTTTGGTACACTGACTCTGTGTATTCCTTCCATCTTCTTTTGATGCTTCCTGGGTCATTCAATATTTTCCCCATAGAATCCTTCAGTATTGCAACTCAAGTCTTGAATTTTTTCTTCAGTTCTTTCAGCTTGAGAAATGCTGTGAGTGTTCTTCCCTTTTGGTTTTCTAACTCCAGGTCTTTGTACATTTCATTCAGATAGGGCCCACTAAATTTTATAGACTGTGTAACCTTGGGCGATCATTCTGAGCCTAGTCTCCTCTCTGTAAAATGAGCATAACAATGTCTTCTTCCTAGGGATGTTGCTGTTGTTGTTGTTAGGTGCCCTTGTCATGGTTGTGACTTGAGAGGCCTTTGGATGACTATCTGTTGGTCGTCTGTCTCCCTTACTAGAATAATGCTCCATGATAGCAGGGCTATGACTATCTTTTACTCCTATATCCCAAACCTGGCATATGGTTGGTGCTCAGTAAATACTGACTGAATCTGGAAATGCCCTGGCTTTCTTTCTTCTCCACAAGACCCTGAGGGTCTCCAGCAAATAAGATACAGAATACCAGAAAGAACGGAAAAAGAAAAAATGGATCAAGATGACACTTGGAATGATGATAATCCAGTAAGGAAGAATGCATCGAAAG